CATTCAAGCTACTCACCCTCTGGCAAAGATTGGCGTTTCAGGAAGACTACATGAGGTTTGCAGGCGATGCTCTTCGCGTGGCGATTGCTTCAGGCTGCGCTTGGTGCCATAGTTGATATAGCGCCGTTGATAGGAGCCCGTGCCGGCCACTGAGCCGCCATCACAGGAGCCGATGGTGCCCATCGGGGGCTGGGGCAGCGGCGGCATGCCGCCCAGCCCAGTGGGTGTGGTGATGCCGCTGCCGCTGCTATAGCCAAACAACTTGGGCGAACGCTTGCGATACTGTGAATCAATGCTCCACGATTTCATAGTGTTCAACGAATGTCCGGCACGATGGGGCGGCACAGCGGGCGCCAGCGGCGGACCGGGCAAGCCGTCGGCAAAGCAGTTCGTTTGATGGGCCGGTGCTGGCGGCGCTGGCAGCTCGTCAGTGAAATGACGCACTGCAGCCACATTGTCGCGACTGCGCCGTGTGTGGCTGTTGCTGCTGTGCACCGCAGCGCCCGAGGCGGTGGCATGTACCTCGACAACGGTAGTGCCGCGATTGGCACTACCGGCAGAGGCCGGCAGCTCGAGTGGCTTGCGTGGCTCCACAGGCGAAGGCGGCAGCGGTGCATCATAGTCGAAAATGTCCGGATTGGAGCTGGGCGGCGACGGTGGCAACGGGCCAAAGCCGATGCTCTGCGATAACAGCATCTCCTTCGCGCTCTCCGACTTGTGCACGCCCGGACGGAACTCCAGCACACGCTTGGCATGCAGCTCCGCAGCGGCAGCGGCGGCGGCAGCAGCAGCAGCCGTGGCAGCTGTGCCAGCTGAGCCAGCTGACGATGCAGTGCAGCCATTTGCCTGTAACTGCAGCTGGCCAGGCAGCGGCATATCGCCACGGAGCAGCGCGCTTATGTTGTGCTCGATCTGCTTGAGCGGGGCACAGCCGTAGCTAAAGTCAGACTCCTCATCCTCTTCTAGGGTGGGCGCTAGATCTGTGCGAGGCGTGGTTGTGGTCGAAACGCGTGGCTCTGTATGAAAATTGAGAGAGGGCGGGCGGACGAGAGAGAGAGAGAGAGAGAGAGAGAGAGATTAGATTAGAATAAATGAGTCTAACTATATATTAAAATTCTCTAGCTCCCACGGGAAAACTGTATATACATATACATATACATAATTTATAAAATAAACTTAATAAAATAAATGTGGCATTTCGAGACTCCAAAGATGTACGAGAGCTAATTTAAGGATTGGATTAGATTTTCAATCCCTAACCTTAATAAAGAAATAGTTAGAGATTTTTCTTTTTAACAAACTCGATATATAGCTGCTATACAAAGATCTACTAAAAAGGCAAGTCCTTAGCACTTATAAGTTCTGAGATCGACGCGTTCATACATAAGGACAGACTGACAGACGGATTAATTTAGATCGACTCAATTCGTCGCACAGATCACGAATATATATACTTCATGGAGCCATGCCCCCTTCGCCTATTGCATACATTTAACCGAAATCATGATACCCCGATTTCCCATTTTCATTGGATAGCTTGCCAGTTGGATCTGCGCGACTAGCGAATACCCTTACCGTTGCCATTGTAGCCAAACGGATCGTAGCCGTTGCCATTGAGACGCGCCTCGTCGAACTCCTCGCTGCTGGAGGTGTTGTCCGGCATGGACTCGGCGCTGAGACGCTTCTCCGTCAGCATGGCCGTCTTGCTCTTGAGCGGCTTGTTGATGATCAGATGCTCGGTGGCCTCGGCAATGTCCAGGGAGAGCGCAGCTCTGTGTGCCGCCGCCATTTCCAGGCCGCGACGCGTTTGCGCCGCTGCCGCCTCGCACTCCTTGTAGATGAAATTGGCCTCTGCGGGCGCCGGCGGCGGCGGCGGTGGCAGCGACGTCGATTCGCTCGGTTCGCTGTCGCTGGTATAGAAGTCGTTGCTAATGGCGCCAGCGCCGTGCGAGGTGCGCGGCGGCTTCGGCATGCTAAAGATGTCGGCGGCACGCGGCGGCTTCTTGGCCGTGGAGCGACGTATGACAAAGGTGCCCTTGCCCAGCATGCTCTGTTCGTTGCAGAGGAAACTATTGTCGAAATCGTTCAGAGTGCTGTCCTTATGCTGTTGCTAGGAGGTTAGAAGATTCGAGATTAATGGATGGATGGTGGATGATGTTGTGCAACTGCAGTTGACTCACCTTTTTGGCAGCTGTTGAGCTGGATCTCTTGGCGCTGCTCGACTTTTTCTTATTGCTCTTGAAGTGTATCTCCCAGGCGACGCCGTTCTGCTTGACGGGCGTCAGATCTGTCGAGATGGTCGACTCCTCCAGCGAGTCCTCGGAATAGTCGTCCAATTGCTGGTGGTGCTGCTGCTGCTGCGGCTGTTGCTGCTGCTGCTGCTGCGACGGCTGCTTGGCTGCGGCCACATTCATGTTGGACGCCGCTGGCGAGGCTTCGCCGCTGGACGTATGCTGTGAGCCCGATGAGCCCGACGACGAGCTGGAGCTAATGGAATGTGGATTGAGCATATGACAGACGGCCTTGTGTTTCTCCACCAAACGCTTGCCACGGCCCCCCACCTCGCCGCTAGCCTTGGCCGACGGACCCGGATAGATGGTCACCGGATGCTCGTTCAGCATCGGCTCCGGCAACTTGGCCAGATTGCCGCGCAGCACCGCATTGTGCACGGCACTGATGTCGATGCCCAGCGCATTGCGTTCCCCATTGCAGCTGCCGGTGCGTGTGGCAGCTGCCTCCAGTCCGTTCGACGAGCTGCACGCGGAGTTGGCACCCAAATTGGAGGCACGTGCGCCGCAACAGGGCAGACTCGAGTAGTTGGAGCTGGTGGCTGGCGTCGAGTTGGCGCTACGTGCCTTGGGCTAAAAGGTAAATAAATAGAGAGTGAGTGCATTAATTGATTTATCATCACGTAAATATATATATATGTATGTATGTATGTATGTATGTGTGTGTGTCTCTGTCTCCCTGCTCACCAGAGTTGTCTGTATGAGCGGCGTTGTCGCTTCCTGGCTGCTGTGCTCCGCCTCAGATAATTTGGTTAGATTCTCGGCAGTGCCGTCAACCTCATTGAAGCTGCCCTCGGGCACGGTGTCCGTGCTAGGTGTTTGTGGCACATCCTCCGAGTCCTTTTTAGACATGCTAAAAATAAAAATAAAACTTTTTGTTTTAGCAACTCTATGAACAGTCAATATATCAGTTTATTAGGTAGACAGGTTGAATAGAGGGGGTAGATCGTATATGCTAATACACATATATATAATAAATTGATTTGTAATTTAATTATCATTAGATAACTATCATTAGATAGACGATAGACGTATTTGAACTGTGACAATCCTGAATATATATGTACATATATATGTATATAAATATATATATCTCGTTTTATGAAGTATTAGGATTACATTTTATCGATAAGCCCGTTGGAGGTGTGGAAATTCGAAAAATACTATATAATATACTGTTATACATATATTTATTTTCATAAAGAAACATATATATATATATTATATAGTATATATTATATATTATTTTTTATTTTTATGTTATTATTATTTATATAATTTTTATAATATTAATATATTATGCTACACACATCAAAATTTATTTTAATTTTAATTTTTTTTTTATTTATTTATTTATTTTATTTTATTTTATTTTTTTTTTTTTTTTTTTTTTTTTTTTTTTTGTAATCTTATTATTATTATTATTATTATTCGTATGATTTTTATTATAATTTTATATATAAATAAGACACTTAAAATAGTATTTTAGATTTTTGTACTATTATCATTATATATTTTTTAAACTTTTATTAGAACAGCGACAGTATATAGGATGCTAAATACATGATTTATAGAAATTCAAATCAACAATAAGTGTAAGTAAGTTCTTGTAAATCTCAGGATTTCATGATATTAAATGAAAAAATGAATTCATTAGTTATCAAATTCACTTTTATACTTTTATAGCCAACATTCCTTCGAATAGTAGTGATAGCAATCTATGCACCTATACCAGCCGCCTTAGAGCTCGCTCATTCGAGCAAAGGGTATTTCACGATAACTGCCTGCATTTTTTTGTTGCATTCTGCCACAGCGCTGCTTTCATTTCAGCTTTTATTTTTTCAGTCCATCTTGCATTTCAGGTTCATTTGCTGCATGTAAATTCGAGTGGGGAGGTGGCAGGGAGAGCGATGGCGGCTAGAATAGTTCAACTCGATGCTGGCTGGACTATCTGAGTGCGGTTACAGTGACTTGCAGTCACGAGTGGCTGGGCCGAATGGCTGGTGCACCTGTCAGGCAGCTGCCGCCCGAGTGCAGCCATTTGTCTCGTGCCACCCGCGCGCAGTGCTGCTGCTGCTCAAACAAAACGTTGCGTAAGCGTTTGCCAATGCTCAATTGAGCCCCATCTCGGTGCGCACGCTCTCGCCCTGCTCCAAAGAACTATCGTTTACTGCCACAGCACATGTCTGCACGTTGTCTTCCTCATCTTCTGCTTCTTCGTTTTCTGCGCTTTTTTTTAGCTGCTGCCTCTGATGCAGCTAGCGAAAATTTACACAGCCCGAGGGGCGGGGGAGTGGCGCTCGATGCTTCAGTTGCCCATCTTCGGCATTGGCATCCATTTGTTTCCGGAATTGCGGCGTGTTACGTTTCATTTTCAATTTTCATGCCATTTGCTTTGGCTTTTGTTTGCTGCGCTTTGCGCGACTGATGCCGCAATTCTAACTAGAGCCAGGAGCGGCTCAGGCGCACAGCTTGCGACCGGCCCGCCATTATATTAAGCTATTCAGCTAAGAAAATATAATCATAATAAAGCTGAAATTAAATAAAATGAAATGCCATGAAAATGGCAAAAAAAAGAAGAGAAAGAAGAAGAGTGCAAAAGCGAAAAAGGAAAACATTTGAACTTGTTCAAAATGTAAGCACAACAAGAACAACAACCAAAGAAGAAACAGTTCAAGAAGCGAAATAAAAAGAACAGTAACTGTTTACAGCGCTGGAGTCCATTAGCTACGCACCGAGCCCGAAGCCGGCCAGGGGTGGGGTGGAGGGGAGTGAAAGCTATATTGCCATTAAATATTTACTTCGCGCTCCCATTTCTTTTACTTAGACTGCCCTGAAAATTCGGGGTTAAAGGGGACGGGGCGGCGGTGCTGAGGTGGCTCTGTAAGCGGCCTTTGGGCGCAAGCCAGATAAACATAACCGTTTCGTTTTATGTGCAACAATCATTGCTTTTGATTGCCACACTGATGGCCAGAGTTGGCAACTGCGAACTGCCTCAAACTGCCTCAATGTGAAGTTTCCAGCTCTACGGCTGAGGTGTTGCTGTCCTTGGCCAAAAGGTGTAAAATGCCGCATTGCTTAAATTTTTTATGTCTTCAGCTGGCATCGGCGGGCGTAAGCGTTGACGTGTGGCCTATACTGCTTGCCGGTTATTGTGTCGTTCTCATGATTGAAACTCATTTTTGGCCAGATGCCAGCTGCCAGCTGCCAGTTGCCCAGCCACACGGCTGCCCAGCTGTCCAATTGATTGTGGCAGCGACTCATGGAGGCAATTGTTGCTGCCAGACAGACGGCCAGCCAGACATCCAGACAGCTTTGCTTGTGATAGGCCTATTAGTTAGCAGCGTCTCGCAAGTGGGCAGCACTTCTTGCTAGCTCCATTCCGTCCATTCCGTCCACTCTCGTCCAGTCAGCATATCAATTATGGCATAAACGATGTGTGTGTCTGTCTTTCTGTCTGTCTGTGTGCTTGTTGGATTTGTCATAAGCTGTCACGTTACGTTACGTGTTACGTGCAAGACGTGTTCGTTTGTTTTTCTCCATGGCATGTTGTCTTATGTTGTAAGGCGAAGGCAAACAACGTTGAGTGTTGCAATATGCCAGCATTTACTTCAGTTGACAAAGCTAACGTCAAAAGCATACGTAACTTTATACATAACGTTTTGTATTATGATGACCAGCAGCATATTAAAACACAATATATTAATTAAATTCCCTTGCATATGAAATAGTCCTTATTCGAAGTAGATTCAAAAGCAGTTATTAAAAGTAAATAATTATGACGTAACATATGCAGAAAACAATTACATAGGCGAAGCAATAACGTAAGCAACTAATTTACATATCGTAAAAAGCCTCATTCATTTCATAAGGCGGAGCTTTACTTACGTAAAGCAATAATGTAAGAGAATCATTTACGTAAAATACGTAAGGACGTAATGAAATTACGTAAGATATGGAATTACGTAACAGAGTTACGTTATTATCGAATAACGTAACAGAGTTACGTTATTATCGAATAACGTAACAGAGTTACGTAATTATAGAATTACGTAACAGAGTTACGTAATTATGGAATTACGTAACAGAGTTACGTAATTATGGAA